GCATCATCCTTCAGAATGGGGCATCTGATGTCACCATAAATGTATGGTCTATGATGATTTCCAAAGAGGTGAATAGCAAGTGAGAAATAGCATAAAATGGGGAACTGGAAACAATAATGCTAAGCAAAACCAAGCACAGAAGTTGGCGAGTGGAAAGGGAACCAAAGACTTAGTGTTTGGTCTAAGGAAGTGAAGATAAAAGAATTATATTGCAAAACACATCTGGGAGATAGGAATAAGAAGGACTAAGTTTGGGCTGAGGTATGGCATCCTGCTGTGGACCTCACCAGCTTTTCAGTCTTTGTGTGTAGCCTCGTTTTCCTGCAAGATGCCTGACAAAGCAGTGTTGGAGCATCTTTGCATTGAGCTATCTGGGGATAAAGAAGTCATACTTCCTAACCCTTGCCCCACTACATTTTTGCCCAGAGAACTGGAGTACCTCTCTATGTAATGGCATGATGGTTCCATACTGTTCAGCTTGCAAGACTGCCAGATGATGAAGTAAAATGCAGTTAAATATATGCCTACGGAGGATTTGGGAGGATCCAGGGGAGGAAAACATAATCAAAAGATATTATATGACATAAAATTTTTTATTAAGAAAAAGAGTGCACCTAAGGCACCCAGCCTCATATCCTGTCATATTCGGGACTCTCCAGAAGTGAAGTCTTTCTCCCTTTGAAAACTACTTTGGAAGTGAAAAGAGGACAGAAAATGATGTAGGAAGATTTTGCAGATGTATCATTTCCCTTCTGCAGAGGAGAGACTTGGACAGCTGTCCTCTTGGCCAAGGTTAGGCATGACTCAGTGGAGGGGTGAGTCTCGTGAGTCTGTCTTCTCTGAGGTCAGACTCAGCCAGGAATTGTTTCCAGACTTTAACTCTTTATTTAGCAGAGGTCTAAACATTCTCAACCCATTCATTCATTCTCTCATGCATTCATTAATCCAATCATTCATTCTGTCAACAAACAAATATCTGGTGCCCAGCATAGGACAGACACTTACTTATCACTTATTCAGTGAATGAATAAGTGATTGGTAGATAGATGAATGGGAGGACCCTACCCTAGCTTTTGGGATAGAGGCGAAGGAAAATTAGAAGTCCTGTCTGTCCAAGCATGTGTGTGGTAGAGAAGCTGTACACACCTACCCTACTTCTTTAAGCACGCACCAGATGAAGTCTATTAATTGGAAAGGAAAGCACACTAAGAGAATGCAGAGGTCTGTGTGGGGAAAGACGATGGAAAGACATCCCAGAAAAGGCAGCTGCCTTCTCAGGCAAGGTAAGCAGCCTGTGAAGGGTGGTGCTCCATGAGTATCACTACAGTCAAAGGGTACTTAAAGAGCTGTGGTTGCTGACATGTGACTAAATATTCTCTTCTCAGGGTGGCCACACTCAACAGTTGAATTTTAGGCCAGAGAGATGGCTTAGTGGGTAAAGACCTTTGCCATGAAGACTGACAATCTGAGTTCAGTCCCCAGGACCCACGTGGTGAAAGGAGAGAACAGACTTCTACAGGTTGTCCTCTGACCCCCACACATGCCCTGTAGTACACACACACACACACACACACACACACACACACACACACACACGCACACCCACACACACACATGCACATGCACACACACATACACACATACACAGACACACACACTATCAAATATGTACATAGGGCTGCTGAGGCATTTTTAGAAGGTCATATTGATACCTTGGGAAAGAAAAATAAGCTTACCATATAAAGTATAGACTGGCAAGAAATATTGCAAAGTTATTTTAATAGAACTCAGACTGAGGCAGGGGTTTCTGGAATAGATGAGAGGAAATGAACACAAGAACATTCTAAATCTGAATGGGTGAATATCAGGGACCCTTAGAAGGAAGCAAGATAGATTGAAAAAAATGGTTCTCTGCTTCCTACCTGAGATATCTTGATACATGGGTGTAGGTTCAAGGGAAGAAAGAGGCTCTGACATGAACCAGGATTTGTGGCTATGGTAGCTGCTTTCCATGTATCCAGCATGGTGTCTGGCACTTGCAGTGATGACATCAAAGTGTAGTTTGAACATCACCAAGATCATTCCCAAAGTTCTCCATAAACTGACTCCCAAGACAGCCCAAGACAATAAATATATAGAGTAACTGGGAAACTCGCCTCCACAATCCCAGCCCCCAAATCACACCTTCAGCCACCTCGATTCCTCCAGGTGCAAGTTTTACATCTGCCCTGGAGGCATATTCCATTTGGTTGAAGAAAAAAACACAGAGAGAGAGAGGGACGATAGAGGTCAGGAAGAAAGAGTGAATTCATTGGAATTGAATGGCATCCAAGTGTGAACACCCAGTGAGCAGAGGAAGCCGAAGTCCTTAGTTCATCTCGAGTCTCTTCCTGTATTATGGAAAATGTGAGAGCCATAGTGGAAAGACCCTAACCTGGACCACACTGGAGTCAATCATGTAAGCACATGAAATGGACCAAGTATAAGATGGCAGAGAAGTAGGGAAGAGAGTATGGTGGGCCTGTAAATATGTGGTTCACAGAGATGGACCACTACCTCTCTAATATCCTGGAGACTCAATACTGACAAAATGGCTCTATAAAGGGAACCAAAAATGTCCTAATTTGAAGTTCTGAAAATTAATTATGTTTGTTTTAAGCATGAAAGAATATTATGACCATGCATCAGAATGGATTATGGACCACCATCTTAAAAATTGTCCTGGTGTGGGGACCAAGGGGTCCAGTCCTTAAGGATGAATAGAAAAGGCAGAAGAGGAGGCAAGGAGTGATATGAGGAGAGAGTAGAGACCTGCATAAAAATGAGATAGTGAGCAGGGTTGATGGGGAGGCTGGGTTCAAGTTGGATCAGAGCTACAAAGAATTCTTCACATCAGGAGATGAAGACATCACTGAGACTCTAAGAATTTCAATTGAACTGTGGATGTAGACAGTAAATGGCAATTGGCTAGGGAACTATAGGAGATGAGAATTATAAACAACTGTTCCAAAGTGTTTTTCATAAAAAGACACTGAAACATGGGAGAAGCTCAAGGGGATATAAGATTAAGGAAAATGCATTTTTTAAACAATGAGGGCAATTTAGCATGTGGGTGAAAGAAATGAGACAGGAAGTGACAGAAAAGGCCCAGACCTAATAATGAGTGCTAGTCCCTAAGGGGAGCAACTGGAAACCAGAGACACAGAAGGAGGCATGACCCTCGCCAGGAGCAAGCAGCTTTCCATCTGAGACAGAAGAGATGCACTAACATGAAGACAGAAGTTTCCACGTGGGCGCTGGGGAATTCTTATCTCATAGCCTCTGTTTTCACTGGGGAAGATAAGACTTCTGACAGTGCCAAATCCAAGATTATGGTTCTGCCTAGAAGAGGAATAGTGAAGGAAAAAGGAGATGCCATAGAGCATGGCAGAGAAGACTTAAGAACTCTCTAGACTCTAGAGTCTACAGGAAGTGGCAGGCACTGCAGAGCCTGCTGACTCTCTAAACCGTTTGCCATCAAGGAGATAGGACGTCCTCAAGAAAGACAACAACCTAGAGTTGAGTCGTCAGGGGCAGGAGGTGATCACAGCAGATGAGCTGGGTCTTGGTACCAGCATGTGGGGAAACAGAAGCCTAGAGATGCTGGGATGAGTGGCTGGTGAGAGAGTGCCTAGCCTCAGATGGACAGGGGGGGGAAGGAAGTTGGAAGTTGGGCAGTGGCAGAGGGACCCGGCAGAGTTGATAAAGTAGCTGCAGAAGGAAGTGGCCGGCTGTGGTGGAAGAAAGACCAGGCTGCTCAGTTGAGTGTTGTGGAATAGGGAGATTCAGGACAATAAATTGTCCGAGGTGTTGCCTCGGCAGATAGACCCAAATGCCCCAATGCATTCTCCTGGAGAGATACACAGGAAGTGTGAGAGCCACCTTCCCTCAAATTCCCCGCACCTTCCACCCTCTTACGAAGCCAGCCCTTGCAGGATGTGAGGAGGTGCTGTTGAAAGCAAGCCTTAGGATAAAGAGAAAGGAGAAGACCAAGGAGAGGGAGGGGTTCTAGAAGAAAGGCCCCAAAAGTAGCATTGTAGAGCAGAGAGAAGACTAGCCCAAGAGTAAACAGCCCTGGGTTTGAAACTCAGAGCCTTGGATTCTCTATTCCCCAGCTCTCTTTTACTTGGGCTCATCAGCCTGGATGCCTCAATTAATTTCTCCATCCATAAAATGGATAAAAGCTGGACATAGTGGTGTATACCTGTGATCCCAGCCCTCAGGGGACTGAGACAGGAAAATCATGATTTAGAGGCCAGTTAGACTATATAATGGGTTTCAGCCATCCTAGGCTACATATTAAGTCCTATCTCAGAACACAAAATAAACAAACAAGCAAGCAAACAATCCAAACTAACAATACAGCCCACTTAGACTACAAGGACCTTGGTGAGAGTCCAACAATGCAATGAATCATCAAGGACATAAAATGAATTGTGGTTTGGGGGACCTTATAGTTTTGAAACCTTCCCTTGCTAATTGGATAGAGGTTCTAGAAAGTACTCAGCAAATACCCAAAATTTTCTGTTTAAAACTGGCATTGAATCAGAATTGCATAATGATAAGACTTCTGATGAGATGTTGGAATATGAAGTTTTCCTAACTTTTCTGGGGGCAAAGGGGAGAAAACAAGGGGTTGTGGTTGTATACTGGGCCAGCCACAGGGAGAACAATAGATATGTATTGTAGTGCAATCCACGTCACTTCAGAGCCTCAACAGTTCAGGTCACCCCAAACTTTCAATCTCAGGAGGAAAGTGTCCCATCCAACTTTCTCACCATGTCCAAGAACTATGAAGAACCTATTCAATCAAGCCACGAGTCCTGCTGATGTTTCTGACAAAGCAAAGGTTAGGTTACCAGACCCACTTTCCAATGGCCAAAGCTCATGGCTGTCATCGCTTTCACAGCTGCCACAAGAGTAATCATGTCTTGTTGGCTCCCTAATATCCAAAGCTTTACCTGGTCCTTGCTCCATGATGCCTTCTGCAGTCTTCACCCAAGGCTGACATTGCAGCTGGAAAGCTGAAGCATCTATGTGGACTTAAAGGTTTGGACACTGCCCTTGAAGCAGATGACTATCTCAGCATGGAAGGGCAAGTCCAGACACACTCCACCCATTGCTCCTCAGACTTGGCGATGAAGTCAGATGACCAACCAAGCTGGAAAGTCCACAAACTCTCAGTGTCTAACAATGCTGGACTCTGAAGAAAGAAAGGACTTTTATGCACCTCCTCTTAGGAAGGCACTTGGTGCTGAAGCACATGCATCCTGTCTGGGACCTGCGGAGAAGTGACTTTGACACTAACAAAAATTCTTCTCTGCTTCCAAAAACCTATTCCCAAGTGTCTGTTTCTGTTTTGTTAGGTTTTCACCAGACAGAGCTGTGCTTCCATAGTGGAAATATGTAGCTGGCCATCTTGCTGGAAAATGTTAAAATCTATGTCAACTGCCGTTTTTCCCAGCACACACTGCACACACTCACACACAACTTGTCTGCACCCTACAATTAGCAGTGACACTGACTGCCATCTATGGCACTCCATTTCACCCCACACATTGACATTTCAATAAAGCAGTGCAGGACTCAACCTGCAGGATCTCCATGACATTGTTCAGCTGTACTTGCTCTAATTAATTCATTCTTCACTTTTTTCCCTTCCTTCCTTCTTTCTTCCCTTCTTTCCTTTGTTCCTTCCTTCCTTTTGGAGTCAGAGTCTGGCTATGTACAGCCCAGGCTGGCCTCAAACTCAAAATTTTTCCTGCCTTAGCCTACTTAGACTTGGAATTTCAGATGTGCACCATCACACCTGGCTCATCCTTCACTTTCTTGTTGAGATCCCAATGCAAGGTGCTAGTGCTAGGGTGCAAGAATGAGTGAGACAGAAGATCCCGCCCACCCACCTGCCTATCATCCCTAAGGCCTGCTGTTTTCAGCCCATGCAAGTACTCAATAGGTTGTGTTGTGAAGTCTCATTGCCACGGGTGTAGTTCTGAGTGCTGAATATTTCAAAGCGTTGGTTGATTTAGGGCTTTGAAGCCTGAAGAGAGGGTGTGTTTGCAAAACCACTTCCAATGACTACCCTCCTTGACTGGACAAATGGCATTTGCATCTCCCTTCAGATCCTTTCTGTGGACTTACAGAAAAGACAGGATGGGATTCAGAATGGAGCCTGTGCTTTACTAGACAGTCCACTGCCCAGACGGCTAAAGGTATGAATACATAAGCCTCTTTCTATAGGCAGATAAAACTTCACTCTTCAGTATGTGACTAATTACAACCAGTAAATGGGGGAACCAGATCACCCCCACCCAAAGGACCCACAGGGCCTCTGAAAGCCCCCCTTTTTTACCACAGCTTCTTACCTTTCAGCATTGTCAGACAAATGAAAGGAAAAACCAGAAGTCCCCACTTTTCCTCCCAATCCTCTCGCCCACTCAACTCATTTTAAAATGAGAGAGTGGTTTAGTTCTACCATGTTAAAATGAGTTGAGTGGCTTAGATTGTTTGTGACTGATTTGAACAATGATACTGTCACACTTGCTGAGATCTAGCGTGGACAAAAGCTTTAAGGTGGAATGGAGCACAGAATGATCCAGAAGTGGAAAGTAAGGCTGGAGGGGTTGTGTGTCTGTGTGACTTGGTACAAAGCAGACAAGGGCAAGCCAAGGCCAGACTTTGCTAGAGAGCTTTGTCAGCTAACTGCTTTTCTAGGGCCCTGACTTGGCTCTACAATTGCTTTCTCTGACCCTTAGCTGTTCTGAACACCCTCAAATGCTTTCTCCTTCCTGGAAGATAGGACAGAAGGGGTGAGGGGACATTTAGTGAAATGGAACCTTAATGTCCCTCTCCCAGAAAGACAGCAAGAATCAGGCATGGAGTACATGCCTGTAATTCCAGCACTCCAAAAGCTGAGGCAGGAAGAGAGTTACTAGTTTCAGGCCATCCTGGGCTACATAGTCAGCACAAGGCCAGGAGCATACAAATCTACTGGAGTGGCCATGTACCTCTAGATGTCTCCAGGTCCATGCCCATCAACCCTTAGGCTGACACAGCTCTTTGCAGGATGCTTACAAAGCGCCCTGGTTTGTTTCTTCATGCAAGTCACACGATGATGGTAGAAACCGCTGTTTACTCATCACCTTCTGCACAAGAGGTCCAGAAAGGTCAAGGGACTTGCTCAAGTCCACATAGCTAGACAGAGGCAGAGACAGGCTGTGATACCGTAACATAACTGAGGGTTCTTTGCATTCTTCCCGGCTCCCTGTTCTACTCCCTTTGTTTATTACTCTTGCACCTTTGTCTCATTTCTTCCTCTTCTTCTATACCACCTTCCTTTGAAGACTGAAGACCCAAGAGAATCATGGACCATTTCTCTAGAAAACAGTTGAAATTGCTATGGACAGCACCACACTCTAGTTCTTGAAGCTTATGTGGGGACCATAGGCAGGAAGCTAGTCTGAAAGAGACGAGTAGCTCATGGTGTCCCATCCGTAAGCATCTTGGTCTATCCTTTGCTCTTTCCAGGTGGTTCTAAGGGAGCTAGACACGTGCAGCATCAGAAACACCTACATGGTTAGCAATACACATCTCAGACCCACAGAATCGGCATCTGCTCTTCAGCAAGATGCCAAGGGCTACATAAGCATTCTAAAATGTGCAATGTCCAGAGATTTTCTTCAATATGTGTCCTTCCTCCACCCAGTAATGATTCAAGTTCAAATCCTGCCCAACCCTTGAACCCACCACAAACACCCCACCTCAGCCTTCTGTGTATCCACACAAGAACTTTCATGATGCTATATATCTAGTTAATGTAATTTTTCTGTATGTCACTTGATTTTCCCTTGGGTGAGCAAAACACACATGTTCAAGGACTCCACTAAATGCCACTAAAACAGTGTCTCTGTCTCCATTTGGATGATCCACAGACCACCCACCTAAGACTGTTACCACACCTAAGGCTGCTCAGAGCTCAGCACCTTAATGGTGACACTTCAAATGTGTTTGCTTGACCCTTACATCCATCACCACACTGCTCAGGCCACCTGTGCCATCCAGGCCCCAAACAAGCTTCTCCATACTGGGCAACTCAAAGCTGCCGCAGGATTGCTTAGACTCCTGCCATCCCACCAGTTTGCCTCAATTCTTCCTGTCACTAGGGTAGCTCTTACCTTATGACTCAAGTGCCAGGCCACTACCACTGGCCCAGGAGACAATATAAGTGGTGAGCCCCTTCCCACCCAACTCGGACTGCTGCAAGTGACTCTCCTTTTTCTTTTCCAGTGTGCCCTACCCACCAGTACCACTCTCATCCTACAAATACCCTCAGCTCCTTCATGAGAAGGGAGCTGTAGCACAGCCACATTAGGAAAGGCTTGGGAAAAGCATTGATCTTGTGTGTAATGAAGCTCTGTACTACCTTCAGAGTACTATGGTAGCTGCTCTTTGAGTCTGGCCTTCTCCCTCCAGTGGCCCTTTCCCTGAGGCTTACCCAAGGGGGATACTGACTGTACAATCATTTGTGACCAGATGGTAGAGAACACAGAGAAAGCTCAGAGCCAAGACAGCATAAATACTTCCTTTAGCCTTCTGTGTCACCTTGGGCATGCCATGTGACCTTATTTTTGACCTCAGTCCCTCCATCTGAGAAATAATCCCTTCATCTTGGAGGTCCCATTCCCACTAGACATTCTGTGATGATATAATGGGAAACCATGGTCCTTGAAAGGATGGCAGATTCAAAGTCCTAGGTACACAGGCCTGGCCCACCTGAACCTGAGAGCTCACTTGGGGAGAGTAGAGGGTAGATGCTGGAGGATGCCCGTGGACAGGCACCAACTATGCACCCCACCCAAAAGGTTGGGGTCTGGAGAGATCATCTGGAAGTGCAGGTCAGAAGACCATGAACTACAGGGACAAGAAGAGTAAACAAACAAGAGAAGGGCCCGGCTGAGGGTCTAGGAAATGCTTCTGATCTTTCTAGAAAGCTCACTGTCACTTCTTCTTTCTCTACCTCTGACACTGAGTGGGAGTGTGTGGCATTGACCAGGGTCCATGTGGAGGAAGGAGAAGATTATTCACCCAGAGTAACTTTCCATTCCTCATCTGGGTGGTTTAAAGGAGAAGAGATGCTGGGGGCCACTGGACTATTGATCCTAAGCCCCTTATAGCTCTTCCCTGGGCCTTTCCCTTGGCTACTCCCAAGCCACAGCTTAGCCCAGGCCTGTATTGAGCCATTCCAGATTCCCAGCCCCACGTGAGAACTGCTTGGCAGTAGGCCCAGCATCTGGAACACACACACTCCAGTGAAATATCTCTCCCACAGGAACCGGGAACTTCCAATCCTACCTCAGAACGGGAATTTCCACTGTCTTCTCCCATTCTGCCTCTGACCTACCAGCTGGAAAGAGCATTCTTTGTTAACAGAGTGAAGTGAAAGGGAGATAAACAATAACTTTCTTTTCTTTGGTTTATGATTGGTTTGTGATTCACACCCGGTTTCCTCCCATGTGTTAACTGAGGCTTGCAGTGGCCAATTCACTTTCCAATAGTGACCTCCCAGGTTCAGTCCCAGGGCTCCACAAAACCAAGGGCTTTCCCCTGGGACCATGGACCATATCAGTCTGTGTATATCAGTCAGGAATAGGTTTCCTCTCATAGAAAGAGAAAATGACATTATATACATTCTTGGGGGCGGGGTGCTTTTGGGTCTCCAATTCCTAGGACTAATAGTGTCATCTCTCATCTTGTTGATGCTGTAGAAAGCCTGAGGAATGACTAGATTCCATAGATGACACACTCACAGGTAAGAGATGAGTGTCTGTGAACGCGAGGAGAACTCCTTGGAAGTCGCAATGAGAGGGTCTGGGAAGAAATGACTATGAAAAACTACTGTCTCCAGTCCAAAAATAACTCACATATCTAAGAATTGAGTGAGTCCACAGGGAAAGGACTCAGCCAAACTCAGAGGGATTTGGACACTGGTTGGGGAGTAGGAGAGTGACTGGTGAGATAATGAATGACACAATGACGCAGGCAGAACAAAAAGACAGTCCCCAGAGGTACAGCAAAGCACCACATGAGTGGCCTGTCCTCCCTTTGTTCTGTCTTTTTCAAATTCTGCTCAAGAGTCTAGAATGTTCTCTCCCATAAAATCTCTGCTCTAGATTCTCTAGGAACTAATATCCATCATGAAACATTAAGCCTCATGTCCAGAGGCAGGCATTCCAGAATCCATGTGTCCTGAATGGGAGCATCAGCCCCCTGTGTCACCTGTGTTACCTAAGAGTAAGTGGGTATTTTGACAACTAATTATGCCTGGCTCCCAGTAAACCATCATAATGTTGCTATGACCACTTACTATGGACTAAATACAGCTATTTGTTTGATGCTGCTTATTTCTTATACAAATATAGTAACTAGAGAACTGCTTTCTTCCAAGAATCCCCATTTCTCTGTGGAGATTATCTCCATAATCCCCTGTGAAAGATGAGTTATAGGTCCAACCCTGCCCATCAGGATATTGTGGTGGGCTGAAAGAATCAAGAGACCTAAGTGTTAAGAGTCTGCTCAGGCACTGGCATGCCAAGGAGAGAGCTCTACTATTCTTGGAAAAGAATTGGCTGAAATTAATTCTAAGGACTTGCAGATTTTATTGCTCTGATCCTACTGTTTCTGGAGAAATCTAGGCCAGAAAAGCTGAGTAAAATCAGACTTTGCATTTTCCCAAATATGGCTCCTTGGCTCACTCATGATACCTGGAAATCTAGAAGAAATCAGGGGGGAAAGCAACCACCAGTAGTAAATGCTGACCACAGGCTCCTAGCTCATAGTGACTAACCACAGGGAATGTTTCTCCATGCCCCGTTAGCTGTCTGTTAGTTTTCGGGAGTTGAGTAACATGATGATAGTACAGACTGGAGCTACCGGGGTCCCATTCCAGGGGATTTCAGGGCGGTTACCTATAACCTTTCTGAGCCTCAGCTGCCTGATCTATACAATGGGATTAGCAATACCCACTTAACTAGAGCGGGGAAATTTAGAGACTGCATTACTGACAGGAACTAAGCACTGTATGGGTGTTACATGGGAATCTCTTCTGCAACATGAGCTAATTTGTATGGCTTCCCAGGTCTGGAACCTTACAGCTCAGGCAGTTCATTTTAATGTTAAGAAGCTCTCCAGTTCTGCCATTTATCTGGGAACCACCAAACAAAGTGAATGCCCTATTCAACAAGGAATGTTAAACAAGGACTTGGTGGACTTATGGGGTCCATTCCCAGCTCCGAGGTCCCTTGTGCCAGGGGCAAGTTGGGATATGCTTCCGTCTGCCTTAGGACGTTAGGTTCCTTGCCCACTTCCTTTTATTTCAGTGAAAGCAGGTCCACTCCATTCATACTTGTGGCTGGTCTAGTATGCGCAGCTTCTCTCTTCTACTTCCTGGAAACCTCCTAGAGCCTGCACTTACTCAGCAGATTCAATCTTCCACTTTTCCTCACTCACTGACGATGCTGCCCCTGGGGACCAGGCTCCCAGCCTGACTCCACCCACTGGCTCACTATAAAGGCTGAGGCAGAGCTGCCAGAAGAGCAGAGAGACTGAGGCCAACCCAGACCTGCCTATTCTCTCCGAAGCCAGCTCTCTCTTCTTCCACCATGCAGTTCTCCGCAAGAACGCTTCTGTGCCTGCTACTCACAGTTGCTGCCTGTAGCATCTATGTGCTGGCCCAGCCAGGTGAGACCCCAGCTTCCTTCTCCTCACAGCATATTACCCCATTTTGGATTGTTATGGGCCATCATAGTGTAGTCTCACCTGAACAGATACTTTTTTCTCCCTGAGGTAAGGCAGCAAAGAGCCAACCCAATGACACAGTTGCTTCTGGGAAGAGCCTGAATTAGAGTTTTAATCCTTCCCAGATCTAAATTTGGAGACACATCTTCATGCAGTTCCTATTCTAGCTACTTTCCTCAGTATTTGAGAACCTGGGTGACCAAAGATGGGCCTGGGTTGATGGGCTTATCCAGATAGAGGAGGGAAAGGGAAGAGACCTGAGACCTCTGTTTCATACAGTTCGGCTTCCAGAGGCAGTGGATTAGCAGAGGGGGTTGGTACTAAAGATACTCAGGACCAGACGTAGATTTCAGGAGCCTGGAATAAGGAAGATCCCTAGGTCATTTTCTTGTACTCTGGTAATAAGATTTCTTAGCTCTTTCTCATAACAGTCCCCAGAGCCACCTAGTTTTAATGACACTCCTTTACCCAAGATTGTGAACTTATTTTAAAACACAAATATCTGAGTCAGTATGTCAGGGGCCACATCCCAGCTCTGATGTGTCAGGGTTTACATCCACTCCTTCTCCTCATGGCCCTTCTCTTCTCTAAGGTCAGAAGCATCTATCTTGTCCTAATGTGCCCCCCTTTCTGGTTTATTCTCCAGACGCTGTTAACTCCCCCCTCACCTGCTGCTACTCATTTACCGCCAAGAGGATCCCAGAGAAGAGGCTGGAGAGCTACAAGAGAATCACCAGCAGCAAGTGTCCCAAAGAAGCTGTGATGTAAGTTACACATACTAGCCCTCCCTGGTCCAAAGTTCTTCCTCAAGAGCAAGGGATGGTCCTCATGGACTTATTATAGTCAGTCACACACTCAGATCCAATAGCAACTCATTCCCAATGAGAAAACTGAGGCCAAGAAAGAAAGAGCAATTCCCAACAGCACTCTCTATGGGTGCTGTTCAGAGCATTCCAATTTCATAAGCTTATCTTGGAAAACCTGCAGGAGATTCAGGCCACTCTGAGTTTCCCCTTTCTACCTGCCTTCCTCTTTTAGCCCTACACAGCCCTTCCACGAATAGTCATTGAACTTCATCTGACTGTGTCTTCTCTCTTTCCACAGTTTCATCACCAAGCTCAAGAGAGAGATCTGTGCTGACCCCAAGCAGGACTGGGTCCAGACATACACAAAAAAACTGGACCAGAGCCAAGCTAAATCAGAAGCTGCAACTGTGTATAAAACAGCACCTTTGAATGCTAACTTGACCCATGAGTCTGCAGTTAATGCATCCACTACTGCCTTTCCCACCACAGACTTGAGAACTTCTGTAAGAGTGACCAGTATGACAGTGAACTAGTGTGACCTGGAATGTGATGCCTTAAGTAATATTAACTTTATTTAACTTATTAATGTTTCAATATCCCCTTCCCTGTATACTTGGATTTCTTAGATGCATGACGTGGTTTCATTGTTTTCCCTCTGTGAACCCTGGTTCTCCACCCTAAATGTTATGAGAGATGACTTTTGTAAAGATGAGTGAAAAAAAAAACGTTGTGTTTGAGATCCCAAGGCATTGTTTAAAATATTATTATGGAAATGGATATTTCTAATTATTAAGAGGAATAAATTATTTTTGTACATAGTCTGGCTTGGGGTGTTTTCTTTAGGGAAATCACAAAGCTGAGAGCATATCGCCCTGGAGGACCAGGTGGGACACATGTTATGGAGGAATGGGAGAAAGAACGGCCCAGTCTTTTGTACTGGAAGGTGTCATTTCAGTGTCATAGACTTTAAAACAGGGTCCACTCAGGCATGCTAGTACCATTGTTCCAGTCCCCAGTATTGCTTCTCAGGCACCGGCTTGACAAATGCCCTTCCTGTCATGTGCTCCAATCACCCTTCAACTGGGATGCATCACTTCTATCTGTAACTCTGCAGTTTATTCCCTAACTGCTTGGGCAATTCAGGCAGGGAAGAATGGAGAGGGGACTCAGTCACTGACTATAAGAAGGTTATGGTAAGGCTTCATAGAGAAAGGAAGACACAAACTTATCTTTGGATAATGGTTAGAGATCAGGTTAGGTCAGAAAAAACACAGAAATACTAAGAAAAAGAAAGGTAGCAGGGGAAATAGCTGAAGGTAAAAAGGATGATGGTGTATGCACATGGAAAGGTAAAGAAAGAAAGAAACAATCAGATGAGGCCATGTGTATGCCAAGTTGCATCCGAGGGAAAAGGGAGAAACAATCAGATAGGGTCACATAAGGAAACCTGAATGCAGGTTTTGAATATGAGGGTGAGGGCATGCCCTGCCTCTGATCTTGTCCTGAAACTCTTTGGTCCAATGTAGAGGGATGTGCCCCATTCAGAAGCTCAGGGAGAGCTTCAGAAAGTGCACCTTGATGGCTTCATGCAGACAGGAAGAAGTGGAGAAAGTGACAGACTGGCCCATCAACATATGAGGGCTAAATATGGAGTGCAAGGGACAACTCTAGAGAACAATGTGCCTGGCTGTGGGAAATGGCTTAAGGTACAGACCTTTCCTGACCTTGTTAATGGGGCAGCGTCTCTGAAACCCGAATGTGTTTCCATCCATCACAACCCTGACTCCACACCCAGGAGCCTAGGCTGTCCATTCAAATGGATGGATTGTTCTCTCTCTCTCTGCATGTCCAGCTGAGGTCTGTGGCATGGGACATTTAGACACAGACAGCCTCTCCACAAGGGAGAGTGAGCATCTTTATCTAGGAAATAAACTCTCTTGGTGCTCGCTTTCTCCATCTGGTGGGGAGAAAGATGCTGTCAAACAAGACCCAGCAGTGCCTTTGGCAGCATGCAGTGCTGGGAAGAACTCTGTCTGGCATGAAGGACACTTGAGCTGACACAGA